TCCTTGATCATTGCATCCACTTGTTCACCATATATATATATATCACCAGAAACGAGGGTAACGCAGGCAAAGCCCACTCTCTTTAGCTTTACGAAAACAGTTCGACATACCTTTAATATTGAAATTTGAAACCCAAAATATTTTGGAAAGGGATTTTAAAAATTCACCATCTTCTGCAGCTTGAAAGTATTTCTCAACAAAGTGAAATTTGTAAAAAAATATATTGCGAAAATATTGTAAAATATTGCAAAAAAAAGAAAAAATAAAAATATAAAAATATTGTAAAAAAAATATTGTAAAAAAGTAAAAATATCGCGTAAAATATTGCAAAAAAAAAATAAAAAAAGTAAAAAAAAAGCAAAAAAAAAGTAAAAAAAGGAAAAAAAAATTATTATAAAAAAATGTAAAAAAAAGTAAAATATCGCGTAAAATAAATATTGTAAAAAAATATTGCGAAAAAAAGTAAAAATATTGTAGAAAGAATATTGCGAAAATAAGTAAAAAAAGAAAAAATATCGCGTAAAATATTGCAAAAAAAAGTAAAAAAAAAATTATTATAAAAAAATATTGTAAAAAAGTAAAATATCGCGTAAAATAAATATTGTAAAAAAATATTGCAAAAAAAATAAGATATTGTAAAATAAATATTGCAAATAAAAAAATATTGTAAAAAAGTAAAGTAAAATATCGCGAAAAATGTTTTTTTAAAGAAGTAAAAAAAAAAGTAAATATAGAGTAAAATATAGAGTAAAAAAAAAATCCTTGTAGGGAGTATATTTATGTAATATGAGTAATGTTTCTAAATTATACGATTAGTTATGACTTATGACTCATTGACTTATGAGTCATGACTAATATATATTACAACATATTACTATTTAATAACTGTTACTTACGTAATACAAGATATGAGTAATTTTTTTTACGAAAAGTTTATTTTATTGATTATGATCATACGATTACCATCATTTTGACTGCGGTTTGCTGAAGTGGTAACAACAATCAAAAAGGAATTGGTATATGTACTATATGTACTTATTACAATCATTAGCCACTTATATTTAAATGATTTTTCTGTTTGTGTAACAATATTGAGCGAGTTTATTTTATATTGATGATGAAAGAAAGAAAAGAAAATGAGATTTATTTTAAATTATTAAAACTTGTTTTGACTTTCAATATAATTTCACTATTTGTTTATTACTCTTTGGTGACAATGTACAATTGTACATTACTCTATTTAAAATCTGTCTCTTATACACATCTAGATGTGTATAAGAGACAGATTTTATATTGATGATGAAAGAAAGAAAAGAAAATGAGATTTATTTTAAATTATTAAAACTTGTTTTGACTTTCAATATAATTTCACTATTTGTTTATTACTCTTTGGTGACAATGTAC